TGCAATAACAATTTCAGTCATAACACTTTCCCCTTCAGTTGTGTTAAGGTCTCTATGTATGAAATGCTGGTTAATAAAATGCAAGAAAACCTGCAGTGATGTGAAGGGGGGTGGGGAATCCAGTTTTCTCTGTTGCCAGCAGCTCCGGCCTGCATCCTCTGCCCTGCCATCTCCTGCAGACTGTCACTTGCTTATCCCAGCTGCTACCCCTCCCTTCCACCACTATGGCAACCCAAAAATGATGTTCAGAGTCCAAATATTTGCTTTTTACAGATAAGGTTGGGGGTTATTTATTTACTTGGAATATTTATTTGCCCCCTCTCCAGAGAACATAGTCAGCGTTATTCTTGTTCTTTCTGATATCGGCTTGTTATCCAGAACCGTGCATCACAGCTGTGGCTGGCCCCACTGTGTGGGTTTGGCTATCCATAAAATATTATTTATTATTTTTGCTTGGTAGCTCACTTTTATTTTCTACTAGACCATTGCGGATTTCAGGGCCTCCATAATGTTTCCTGTAACAATAAGATAATTACTAGAATAATCAGACCTTATGCCAGCTGTGTTAATAAACAGAAGACAAATAATTTAAATGTAATACAGTCTTCAGTGCTTACTTAAATTTGTACATTCTCTGGGTAGTATTTGGGCTTATGAATAAGCACTATGTATTTGCTGTTAAAAGAGTCAGTACAATGTTTAGGTTCAAGTCCTATCCAAAATAAGTAGAGTACCAACAAGTTTTTGAAGAAAACAAGTTCTGTGGAACCTGAAACACTACCACATGTTGGTGGGAATTCACAAAATACAGTTGACTTTTTCAGATTTTACAGATCGGGGGGGAGGGATAGTTTAATGATAGAGCATATGCATGATTACCAAATTGAGGTGCTAGTACCTCCAGGTGAAATTATCTCTGTCCCTGTGCTGCTACCAATCTGTGCATAAGACCCTCAGGTCCACTCCCGTTTAGAATAGATGATGCTGGGCTGGATAGACCCATGTTCTGGTTCGTGTTCAAAGGTGAAATTATATGCATAGTTACTTGAAAATTAACCCTATTAAACCCAGTTGTACTTATTTCTGAGTAAATATGCACATGATCAGGCTGAAACTTGTTCAGTGGGTTTTTGTTTTTTTGTAGAAACCAGTAGCAAATTTCTTGCCACCTAGAGAGAACAAAAGCAGATGTAAAAGTAGAGTCCCGTGCCTTTTCTTTCCACTGTCTTTAGCTGAGAATATATCAGGAAAGAAGGGGGAACACAAAGACAGCTGGAGTGCTGTGAACAAAGTTTGGCTGAAAATGAAAATAAAATGGGCTACAGGCCAAAAGTTACTATGGTCTTAAAGGCATGGTGAAGCAAATTCCTTTGCCTTAAAAGGCAGTCACCAGGACTAAAAACTTCCTCACTACTGTGGACCTGGTGATTGCTTTTGTGGAACACTGGCTGGGGAGTAATGCTTGGGTTAGTATATAGCAAAGCTGCACAGTATTCTTCACCCAAAGAGTGATTAACACATGGAATTCACTGCCACAGGAAGTGGTGGCGGCTACAAGCATGGACGGCTTCAAAAAGGGAATTAGATAAGCATATGGAGCAGAGATCCATCAGTGGCTATTAGCCACAAGGTATAGATAGGGGCTCTGGGGCAAGTGATGCTCTGTCTTCTTGGTGCTGGGGGGGGCAACAGTGGGAGGGCTTCTAATGTCCTGGCCCCACTGGTGGACCTCCTGATGGCACCTGGTATTTCTGGCCACTGTGTGACACAGCATGTTGGACTGGATGGGCCTTTGGCCTGATCCAACATTGGCGTCTCTTATGTTCTTACGTTCACAGTCAGGAAAGCGTGGAGTCACTTGAAGGAAAACACTCATAAATCCAATATATTGCAACAAATAAAAAACTTATTGAAGTTTATTCATATTTACGTTATTAGTGTTGCCAGCACCAGGTTGGGAGATTCCTGGAGATTTTGGGGGTGGAATCTGGGGAAGGTGGAGTTTGGAGTAGGGAGGGACTTCAGTGGTATAATGCCATACAGTCCACCTTCCAGAGTGGCCATTTTCTCCCAGGGAACTGATCTCCATTGCCTGGAGATCAATTGTAGTCTCAGGAGATGGAGGTTGGCAACCCTAATCCACATGCATTTTTGTAGTAGAAGAAACAGAAGCCTAATCTAAAAAATACTGTTTCCTGTTACAGGTGGCTAGCTAGTCCAGAAGCAGGTGTCTGCATGCATGAGATCATGGGTGTGGTCTTGGCTATCTTGCACATGAGATATTTGCAGAAGCATCTTGCCTTCAGCAAGACCATGAGGAGAGAGAACAAAGGCACAGGAAGAAGTCAGAGAGGAACTTCTAGCTAGACAAAGAGCGACTCCCACATGTACACAATCTCATTCCAGATAAAAGGGAAATATAGCAACCTCCAGTGTCCAGGCATGCTGAGTCACCTTTACTCTAACAATGTGTACACTTGACTGTATAAAATCCTAGGTTGAACACTGCTCAATGTAGGTACCAGAGACTCAGATAACATCTCAGGATGTGTCATGGGTTTACCCCCCTGTCATCAGTGTACCAGCTACTGTGCATTATGTCAGAAATTTGCTGAAACAAGTACAATGTACATACTACTGGACTGAGATGTGGAAAAGATATTTGGAGTATGACCCAAAGTCCTGTTGTCAAAGTCTATGACATGGAATCTAAAGATAGGACTGAGCCTCTGTTGCTACCTGACTGGCAGGTCTTCCAGCACCCGAGGCTTCACTTAATCTGCTAGCCTGCTATGACAGACTGTCAATGGTTAATGCCTAACAGAGTCTGAGAACCTTTGAGTGGCAGGCTGTTCAAACGGAATTCTGTTGAGAGAGTCAGTTAAGAAATGGCAGTTGGGTACTGACAGTTGAAGAAGAGACAGTTAAGCACTGGCTGTGGACTGGGAAGGAGGCAAAAGGAGCGAGAGAATCAGAGAGGAACCCCATTCAAGCCAAAAAGGGAAATTGCGTCCAGTTAAGAGAAGTACCCCCAGCCCAGTGAAAAGGGAGATGGCTCTTAAAAGAGGAGTGATTGCTGGTCTGTGTATATAGAAGGATTTTGGGAACTTGGTTGTATATTCCTCCCTTCTAGACTTTTAAGAGTCAGTGAAACTCAGATACCTATGCTTGAGTGTTTGATCAGAAACTGAAAAGAACGCCTCTCTCCTCAAAGTTTTAAAATACCCTTTTGAATAGCGGGAACACTTACTTATTGACAATAAATTATCTGGAGTTAATGTGATTACAAAGTTGCTTCAGTTTTTTTATCGGTTCACCTCATACATCCTAGCCCTGATTCCACCTGACCTTTTTCTCCTCTAAGTTAAATAAAACTTTTTGTTTATTTTGAACTTTCAAAAGTCTCTTGTGTGCCATTTCAGAAGCTGAATATAAGAAAGTGATTTTGTCTGTGTATATGTGTGTGTGTGTGTGTTAAAGCAACTGGGTGAAAAGAAGAAAGAAGAAGAAAAAAGGGAAAATCCTGTATATGAGGGGGGAAAGAGGGTGAGATTGGCATACCTACAATTACACCACAAAGGGCAAACTGCTAAAAGGTGTCTGCTTGGAAAATGAGCTAAAGTGACCTCATATGTGAAAAATTGGAAAAATCAGGCGTCAGATTCTGGAAATTGTGAATGTATAGCTGAAGAAAGTAGGGGATGAGGCAACACGTATTGATTTTTTCCTTAGAAGAATTTATGATTATAAATGTTAAGGTTAAGTTAGTCACATGCATTCATTACAATTTATGATTTTTTAAAAAAATTGTAGAGGAGTCTTCAGTAAAAGAAATGGTAATAAAGTAAAAGGTCTCGAGCAGTGCCATCCTAAGCAGAGTCACATCATTCAAAGTCCATTGATGTTATTGGGCCTAGAAGGGTGTAACTCTGCTTATGATGGCACTGCAAGCCTTACAAGAAGTTCATATTTACAGAAACAATAATCCTTACTAAATGGAACAAATTCACATTCTCTCTGTTGCAGAGGGAAATGTGTATATCTCATAGCTGGAGTTAGGATACCCCTAGATAGGTCCAGAACACCAGGGCTTCTGGACCGGGCCCACTTCTTTCTCCCCCCCCCCAATCCTTGTTGTCCTGCCACCCACGCTACCAGCTGCACATGCTGCCCTGCATAGTTGGTGATGGGCATTCGTGCAGTGGGCATGTGGATGGGGGGAGGCTTGTTAGTGAGATGGAAGAGAAACTGCATGGGTGGACAGTGGAGGGGGGGGCCCATTGGAGGTGTAAAATTTCCAGAGGTTTTGAAACCATTTTTTAAGAATGGGTTTTTAATATCATTTGGTGAGCTGGGAATGAAGATTTGGGAAGAAAATTAAATATATGCAGTACTAAAATTGTATTAATTGGTGTAATTATGGAGTTTATAAAAGCTTTAGATTTCTACAAGCAGATTTATAAATACACTCAGTACTACAGTTAGAGAATGCTGCAAATGCTGAACCTTATGCTATCTTAGCACATTTCTTTTATTCCAAAAGAGAAGGGTTTTTTTTCTGGGCTTTCACAATTCCATCCCATTTTTTTCTGAGCACGTGCACTCGTGCGTGCACATATACACACCCCGACACCTGGAACAAATCTAGCTCTCTTTTGACAAAATTTCACTTCGAAAGCTTTTAAAAATATTTTAAACAATAATTTTACATACATAAACTTGACAAAACATAAGAAAGGAGGGTAGTGATTACATACAAACAACTGAATGCCACAAGTCTGCAACTTATTTTTCTGTCTCTTGGGATTCAAACCTTTCCAGAAATCAGTCAGCATTACTTACTACAGATGGTAATCATTTATCCTTACTGGTGTTTGTAGCTTGAAAGTATCTGTCGTTTAACTAATTTTCCTTTTCTGAAGAAGAATTTTAATTTTATGCCCTTTGAAATAGTAAAATGTAGCTGCTTGTGTAAACACAGTTCTTCCCATCTTAATTAGCTCCAAACACAAAGGATTTGGATGTTTTCCTGAGAAAGCAGGAGTCTGGTTTCGGCTTTCGGGTTCTTGGAGGCGATGGACCAGATCAGTCTGTAAGTAAAATTACCCATTGGTTGCTGCATGCTTGTGCTGTGTTTCCATATATTTTCTTAATACTATCTTACTTTATATATGTAAGCTAGCCAGCTTGTATTGTTGTTCGTTTTTCAGTTGCATAGTGTTCACACCATATAGCTAGAATATTTCAGGTTTTTTTCATCTTGCTCCTGCTAGCTAGTTCTGTAGTGCAAAGACAGTGTGGGTTGGGACATGTTCGCAACACTTTAGAATGTGTTATCGGTGGAGGTGAAATCTCCATATTTACATTCAGGAGACAATTTTCAAAGGGTTTTCTGCTCGTTGTTGATTTTGCTCTGCTGTTGATTTTATTGTCCACCTTGGAGACCCTGATTGGGTAGAAAGGCTGCATAGAAAGGCTGCATAAAAATGATTTTAATAAATGTTAGTGTTTCTGTGGGCTGTGAATTTAGATGTGGACTGCTGTTTTATCTTGGTGTGTCATCTTGGTTGATCTTGGTTTGTGGCATTAACTGTTGTGGGTACATAAGCATACTTTTGTAAATTGCCTTGGGCCATGTATGTTAAGAAAGGCCATTTGTAAACATTTTAAATAATGAATACAACATTGTCTGACTGCATTTCTAGATTTTAGTTTAATTTTGTCTTTAAATTATCATTGGAAAACATCCTCACTTAAGCACCATTCTTCATTATCTCTTAAGCTTATTAGACCCCACAGAGTTCAACTCTTAGTAAATGGGTCAGATGATAAGATTTGGGTTAATTACTTCATTTATTAAGAGATTGTGTCTGATATGCAGGGTCATAAATCTGAAAGCTTGTAAGAGTTTGCATTTGTGCTGTGGGGTTTGTAACTCATTCACCTGCCACTTGTTCCTTGTATTTCATGTGTCACAACATTGGGGTGTGCCCCCAGTGTTTATTTGATCGGGTTGGCTTGGGATGTGAGGAACTTTGGGTAGTGTTCCAATTAAAAAATCAATCCCTTTTGATATCTAGACACTGATTTTAACCATACCTGGGTTCTGGTCCAATAACTTACTCCAGTTACTTAAAAATTGGAATCAGAAATTTATTTACAAAAGAACTATATATATAAAAACATACGAGTAAGGGAAGGGGTATGTACACTGAAACAAAGACAAACATTTTAAAAAAACCCTGGCTCTCTATCCACTAACACTGACCCTGTGCAGCAGTCTTCCCAGCAGTGCTGACGTAGAAGCAGAAATACTGAAGAGAGTGACAACCTCTGCCTCCAGGTTCACGAGCTCTCAATGCAGAAGATTCTTCCCTGTTGTTCTCTCATATCTTCTGTGCGAATATCCTTGTATTTTTTGGTAGTTCCTGACTCCTGGCTTTATCCTAGCTCAGCTGTCAGTTCTTGATTGACTGACCAATCACAAGGATCAGTCAATTGATCTAGATCGTGAACCGTCAAGATCGTCTGCTGTCAAGCAGTTACTTTGACAGCTCACAGCTGGCCACTATCAAGCTAACTGGTAACTGACTGGAGGTGGTCATTAGTAAGGTACATTGTAGCTTGGAAACAATCCAGACAAAATTTAGGGATTAATAATTCTACAGAAAATACAAATACTTCATTCCTGAGGACCCACTTTCATGACAGCATGGCAGATAGCTTTTGTAAATCCAGGTGTCATGAGGAGGTTGTTGAGCAGTGTGGTGGTCAGGGAATCACCCCCCAGTAGTCTAGGCAGTATGGTAATTATGATACAATTTTTGCTGGGAAGTGCATTCTGTAGATGCACCTTTATGATGCAGATGGGCAAGAATTTTTAGAAAATTTTGACTCTTGACCAAGTTGTTTTAAGAGTGGTGGTGGAAAGTGCTGTCAAGTCACAGCTGACTTAGCAGCAATGTGATAGAGTTTTCAAGGGAAGAGACAGTCTGAGGTGGTTTGCCGTTGCCTAACTCTGTTAGACCCTGGACTTCCTTGATGGTCTCCCATCCAAATACTAACCAGGACTGACCCTGCTGTCAGGATCCACAGCAGGACAACGAAGACAGCACAGAAGCAATTAAGCGCATGGAAAGGAATGCAAAGCATTAGAAACATACACCCCACTTATGGCAGCCATAGCTGACACCTGCTTAGCTTCTGAGATGAGATCAGGCTGACCTGGGCCATCCAGGTCACGGTGTTTTAAAAATACTTAGTATAAAAGAACATTCTGCCCAAGAGAAAGGGTGACGTTTTATATTTGTCTTTTTCTTGGGCTTTAGGGGATAACATAGGTGTGCTACCATAAGGATGTGTACAAAACCTTATGTAGGTCCAGTGTGGTTTTTAATCTGGTGTATCCTGTCCTATATGAGTAAAGGTAAAGGTTCCCTTGCTCGAAAGCCAGTCGATGAGTACAGGTACCTAAATTAAAATCATAATACACTGGTATAGTGAATGAACCATCTTGTCCCAAACTGTCCTTGGCTACCACAATCTAACTTGAATTTTAAAAAGAAACACTTTTCACAAGTTTTGGATTCTTGTAGGTTCAGAATTTGTCGTGTTTCCAAAAGGAGGGTATTGTATATCTGAGGAGCGACAAGTGAGAATACCTTCTTGCACATCCTTGAGTTCTAATGGTACATGAGTTTATCATACGAGTGATCCCAGTTAATTTTGGAGACTTTGATTTGAACATAGAGATGGAGGTAGTGTCTCAGATATACTAGATCAATCCATTTACGCCCTAGGGTAACATACAATAACCTTACTATTTAGAAGGTTTTGTGTTTTGTACCAGCTGAGTATTTTTATCAAAGGCAGTTTTACAATGCTACAGACATAAATAGTAATACAAAAGTATGTATTTCAAGAATTACAGTGTTAATAACAGTATCACACTATCTTACATACACTCTCAAGTATTGTTGGAAATGAGATTTTAGACTGAATCTTCTTCCATATTAGACAAATACTCTGATAGCTTTATGTTTTTCACACTAAAACTGGTCTGCTTGTTTGCTAGATCTACATTGGAGCTATCATTCCACTGGGAGCAGCAGAGAAAGATGGCAGACTACGTGCTGCTGATGAGCTTGTGTGCATTGATGGCATCCCTGTCAAAGGGAAATCACATAAGCAAGTTTTGGACTTAATGACTAGTGCTGCACGAAATGGCCAGGTGCTACTGACAGTCCGCCGAAAGATCTTCTTTGGTGGTATGTGCAATGTCTACAAATTAAGGCTGTACTCTTGTGCTTGGTATTGCTTTTTGTTACAGCATCGATTAATCCAAAATTCTTCCTTCATGTCCTTTAAGTGCTATCCATTCTAGAGGTAGTAACGCATATTTCGATATATTGTATTTAAAATACTGAGCAATAAAAGAGCCAATATCACAGTATCCACAAGCAAATCATGTAAGATAGAATCATACCAATAAACTCACAGGGCTTTAGCATTAATGCCTGGTTTAAGTTGCTAGAGAATCCCTACCTTTAACAACTTATACCCAGAATTAATGTTTGTTGGTCTTAAAGGTGCCACTGAACTCAGACTTTGTTCTATGTAGTTTCATGTTATCTGTAGATGTAGAAAAAGTAAATATTTGATATTAACTCACTCAGGAAATATAGACAGTATTTTAAAGGTTGTTTTTAAAAAATTCTTTATTCTGAAGTAGTTCTAAGTGGGGGTAGCCTTTCATTCAGAGACATTACTTCATTCTGATTACCAGTCAGGGCCCTCTTGCAAACAGCATCAGTAAGCTTCCCCTTGGTTCTAACACCAGCCCTGTCCAGTTAGCAAGCAGCAGGGTTTGCATCATAGCTTGTAACCAAGGCTTGCAACACAAATATCTGTTAGATGCTTAACCACCAACACCCTGTTCCCATCATAGTTAGAAGTCTGAGTTGTGTGGATAGGGCCTTGGCTTTGAGGCACTGGAAAGAAGAGTGATCTTCGGTGCAGCAAGGGAGATGACTAGTATTCACCCCAGTGAAGGCTGTGAGCTGTGCCCAGCACAATTGCTTGGATTTTTATCCTCCCCTCCCAGGAAGAAGCTGACATCTGCTCTGCTGCAACAACTCGGTCTCCTTATCGCTTAGCTGATTGCTGTGCCACCTGGTGGCACATACTCCATTTTGGAAGAGGCTGAGGTGGCAGCACTTCCTTGCTACTGCTCCTAGCCAAATACTGACACTTCATGTCACGTTAATCCATGATCCTAAATACATGTGACAACCCCAATATCATAGTCTCACCCATGTAGCCTGACCTTATCTGGGATGCAGTTCACCCAGAATTTCTATAGTCAAAGAAGTGCAGGGTTTTGCGACATTGAAACTGGCTAAATTAAAAGGACTTTGTTGAAAAATGGAGGGATGCATAATAAAAAGACAGAAAGACAAAGGAGTCTGCTCCAGTAACTGACACAGGGACAGCCTCTCTCTTTTGCGTCTTCTCTTTCAACCGAAGCAGTTAATGTGCATGTAATGATTCCTTGTTTTAAGAGTGTGTGTGTCTCTTTAAATGTTTGGTTGCAGTGCAGTGAATGCAGAGTAGAGTGATTGAGAGAGAGAAGTGTGCTGTGATTGGAGGATGAGAGAGTGTGGAAGGAGTTTTTAAAGTGGATCTGTGTGAGTGTCAGTGGGTGCGTTCAGACGCAGCGTTTGCAACGGTATAGGTGCCAGTTGCAATCAGTGTACTTACACATAGAACACATAGAACATCTGCCTTCCGTCCCTAACCGTTGCAAAGCCCTTTAAACCGTTGTACTCTGCCACTAGGTCTCCAAGTGGTGGTATCCAGTGTTCCCTCTAAGCTGAGTTAGTGTGAGCTAGCTCATAGTTTTTTAGCCTCCGGCTCACACATTTTTGTCTTGGCTCAGGAAGGATGGCTCCAGAGCAAACTAATTTATGCAGAAGCCAAATCTCTCGCTCACAACTTTAATGCCAGTAGCTCACAAAGTAGAATTTTTGCTCATGAGACTCCACAGCTTAGAGGGAACATTGGTGGTATCCTGAGTACAACGGTTGTAATCGCTGTACCCGCCGTCTGATCGCTCTCCACCATTGAGAAACAACTTCCGTTCGGAAGCCTGAGGCTTCCAATTTTCGCCCGCCATTTTTTTTTAAAGGTTGGCGATATGTGCTTGGGCGAAGCTTCGCCCTGGCGTTTGTTTAAAAAAAAGAAAAAAAAGGGCCTTTGTTTAGTCCGGGACCTCAGGGAGGCTACTTCGCTCTTTAAACTTTAAATGTAAGTTCTTACCTTTAAAGTTTAAATGTAAGACGGGTTTTTTGTGCATGCGCGAAGATCGCCATTCTGTGGATGGCTGCCTATGCGCATGCTCAAACTGAGTTTTAAAAAAAACAAAAAACGCCGATGCCCATTGTGTGTGGACGGGCATACAGCGATGGGGTCCACAGACAGGAGGTGAGTGTGATCGCGTTTCAGCCGGCATAAACTGCACCGGTTCCAACCGGTACAGTTTATGCCGGCTGAAACGGCGCGTCTGAAGGCACCCAGTGAGTCAGTTATGAGAGTTATGAAAGTCAGTTGGAATTGTTCAGTTGATGTTGTTCAGTCAGTGAGAATTCAGTTAGTTCTGTGTGGGATCTGAGAGAGAGCAGCATATATCTTCAATAGTGAAACTTTAAAGTTCTTAAAGAAGTTAAATTTACCAAGAGATTAAACTGTGTGGTCGCCTAAGTGAGATTCCTGTCAGGGTGGAATCTTAAGGACTAAAACTGACAGTGTGTGTGATACAGTTGACAAATATATTTACAAGAACCTTATTCCCAGCCAGTTACATAATAACCAACCTCTTATTTTGTTCTTTGTTCAATAAATCATCTTTTGTTTAAGTTATCCCAGAATTGAATTCAATCATTCCTCAGGACCACATATATCTTGAAAGCCTAGACCCTGGGTCACAATACCAACACCAGAAGCAAAGAGGGGATTTGGAATTTATTAAAATTCCTGGTGGTAGCTGGAACTACCTATTTTGTAAACACAAAATATAAATATTAAAGAGAAATACAGTCCTCCCCAATAAGAGGACGTCACAGTGCAGGTACAACTAATTTTGTGTTTCTTGCCCATTTTGTGGATCCCTTTGTTAATTTGAGCATTTGGATGGCATCTGAGGGTCCAAGGCAGCTGTGGTAACTGGATTTGGTCAGGACTATTGCTTTTGGAAATCAGAGTCCGTTCATATCCTTTAGGTAATCTTCCATGGGTTTGAGAATTTGTGCTTCAGCAGCTACCCAATGAACTCTATCTATCAAATCCAGACCCTTGATTATAAGTAATCAGATACAATTACATCTGATGATATTACAGACTTTGCAGGGTTCTACAGCCTGCATGACCTACAGGGGCTCTGTCCATTAGCCTGATATCAGTCTGGAAATTCATAACCTCCTCTGCTGTTGCCACATTTGGCAGAAGAGCTCTGGTGACCTGCAAATACTAGTAGCAAATTTAGATTGTTCAGTAGGATGACTGTCTTCCCTATTTCCAGTTTTTGTTCACACATGGAAGCTGACTTGAACGTAGCTGCATTTGATCTGTAGTAGTGAACCAATGTGCTAAAGCACTATGAAGACTAATACATCTTTATTTCAGCTTTATGCCTTCATGAACTAAAGCCCATTTATTCTTATTCAATCATACTGTTGTTGATAATTGTCTCTTTGTGTTTATATCTCTTATGGTTGACTCTAGCCTGGTTAACCAAAGACTGCCCCCAGCCCAGTCTCACAGCAGTTTACAGTAAATGCATTTTTTCCTTTCCCTAATTAGAGTGGAGGTATAGAAAAAGTATTGCAAATAGCTACAGGAGCTCAAAAATAATCATCATCTAGTGCTCTTCGGGGCAAGGTGCAAAAACAGTGTGGTTTGTCTGAGATGTTTGTGACCATAAAAGTAAGAATAGAATCTACTGTTCTTGACTCTTACATGTCAAATGAAACACTGCCTTTTTCTGGTCAGCTCCTTGATGATTGAAGATGTAGGCGGATAAATGAAAAGGATCCTTGCAGAGCTGCAAAAAAAACCCCTCATTTTAAATGTCTCTCCTTACTAAACTACAAATAGGAAGTAGAGTTTAATAGATTAAACATAGATTTGGGATAACAGAATGTTCAAAACTCTTACTCCAGCCCCATCAACTCCTTGCTTTGTGGTTTGAAAAAGCATGTAAATCCCTACCTAAAGATAACCTGGGTTTATTTGACAGCTCTGAGGGAGTCCCATTCTCCACCCACCCCCTCTTTTGCTGTCTACTGTGGTACAAGCCAGCAATGAGAAAAGGAAAAAGAGAGGGGATAGGCAGCTTCTGGTGTCCACTATAATGGGGGGAGGGACTTCTTAAAATCAAAATATCCTAAAGCAGCAAACTAGGCATTATCGTGCAGACACTTGGTATGTATCATAATTGTATTATACCTGGTGACTGTTTTCAGCCCCTCAAAGTAGGCAATCAGATTGAGGGGGGGGGGGATGATACCTGAAGGCTAGGAAAATATTGATCAAAGAAAAGCAATTTATGACTTTGAACCTCAGCCTGCACTGCTATCCTGGATTATTCTGACAGTACAACAGGTTCTTTGTAGTAATGGTGATAGGTTGTGATTCCTTGAGTAAAGCTGCATGTAGAGAAAGCGCATGCAAAAAAGAAACCATAACTTATGTTTAGAGGGACCAGGGGCAAGTGAAACCACAATATCTAAGTTTCTGATACAAAGAAGTCAGTTCTGAGGAAAAACAGTAAACTGGCTCATAGGAAGAGAGGGAGTCTCTGTCTTTGCCACAGATTATCTTTGCTCTTATCACCTCTACTGCTCTCAAGGAAAAGATAACAGAACACTTTCCTGGGAGTAAGCCTCATTCATTGAATATACCTGAGTAGTATTCAGAGCTGACCTTAAAATTGCTCTCATGATCCCTAATTTTCATAGACACGTCTATAGATATAGAAGAGTTCCTCTTGTACAGAGACTTTGTGAGTCTGGGGAGATAAACTATTGAACATATGACATTTAGATGTAAGTGGTACAATGAGGTTAGAGATAGATTAATTCAGCCTCTTATTAAAGAGAATACCTGGGCAGACAGACTCGGATTGCTGTAATAAACTGATATCTGATGAAAATCATTCTATTACTGTGGCTAAATTTTGGGTGGCATGCTGTTGCATTTGAAAGGTACAGCTTAATTTGTAAAATTGCAAATCTCTCCTTTTTTGTGTGTCTTTTAGTGAATCTGTTATATGTATTTTATATTTCTATACTGTATATTTTATATCTTATTTTGGTGCCCCTTGCTGAAGTGTTTGGATTGTTTGGATTGGCTGGATGCCGTAATAAAATTAAGAAAAAGAACAATTTTTATTATTTTTCAAATGAAACTGGACCAAAAGAGTAAATTTGGAAGGGGGTTCATTGAAGAATACTACTTTCAAGTTTCTTTCTCTTGTTTTAATTATATTTTTATACCCCACTTTACTCCCCAAAGGGGACCCACAGCAACTTACAATAGTGTTCTCCCCTTTGGGAGAACTTTTGCTTTTGTTCTGAAATGTAAATGGCCTGTTTCATTCTGCTGAAGTCATTCTCTTGTTCGGGTATTTGCCAGTACCTCTTCAACCCCTTGGTTCCAACCAGTTAAGTTTAATTTTGTTAATACATCTTCACATTGAGCAGTATTTTCCTGATTTTTCTGTACACATTTCTATGAAATTTTTAGTAGATAAACAATCAGAAGAAGAGTCTTCATCCCAAGTTCCCATCTCCTCCCAGAATGGCTCTCCCAGGCCAAATCGAGCAGAACTAGCCAGACAGTTCCCAGAGGCCTATGATGTTGTACTGCAACGGAAAGAGAATGAAGGATTTGGCTTTGTAATCCTTACTTCAAAAAACAAGCCACCACCTGGTGGTAAGTAATAAATAAAGATTGTCTGCCTTGCTTATCCAGGTGGGTTGCTTGATTTCAGTGTCTCTTTACAGTCATTACCAAAATAATTTAAGGCTGTACTTTCTAGTTAGTTTTCTGCCATAGGTTTACAGTTATTCTTTACCTGACAATTTACATGCTTCTCTTCTCCTATTTTATTCTTTTATAGTGCCTTCAGGCTCAAGTGTGGAAGACTACTTCTTTCTTCAAATAATATACTTTTTAATAGTTTGTATCAGTGCTGTCAGTTAACAGTACTATCATAACACATAAGAGCAGCCATGCTAGATCAGACCAGTGGGCCATCTAGCACCCTGTTTTACCATATGCTCCCAGAAGGCTTACAAGCAGGGCATGTAGACGAAAGCCTCTGTATGTTGTTGCTTGCCAGTCAGTACTGGATTTATGCAGAAGTTTAGAAAGTAAGAGGTTTATGCCGTTAAGTAAGACATTTATGCAAAAGCTACAGTTTAGGGCCTCAGATGGGGGGGTGTAGACTCAATACAGAAAATTACTTAATTACCATTTTTTGGTAATGCTAAGGGGTCTCTTGAACTTGACATAGTTTTGGGGGCCAAAAATCCTAACTATAAATACACGTTGATGGGGTCCGAACTAGCAGAGACTAACCAAGAGAGAGATCTTGGAGTCATAGTAGATGACTCACTGAAAATGTTGAGACAGTGTGCGACTGCAATAAAAAAGGCCAACACTATGCTGGGGGTTATTAGGAAGAGAATTGGAAACAAATCAGCCAGTCTCGTAATGCCCCTGTATAAATCAATGGTGCGACCTCATTTGGAATATTGTGTGCAATTCTGGTCACCACACCTCAAAAAGGATATTATAGCATTAGGAAAAGTGCAGAAAAGAGCCACTAGAATGATAAAAGGGTTGGAACACTTACAAGCATGGATGGCTTCAAGAGGGAATTGGATAAACATATGGAGCAGAGGTCCATCAGTGGCTATTAGCCACAAGGTATAGATAGGAACTCTCGGTCTGGGGCAAGTGATGCACTTTATTCTTGGTGCTGGGGGGGGGGGCAACAGTGGGAGGGCTTCTAGTGTCCTGGCCCCACTGCTGGACCTCCTGATAGCACCTGGTATTTTTGGCCACTGTGTGATAGATAGAGTGTTGGACTGGTTGGGCAATTGGCCTGATCCAACATTGGCCTCTCTTATGTTCTTACGTAGGGTCTCAGCATATTTAATCTAGCCCTTTCCCCAGCATTACTATTCAGAGGCTGCTGCTGCCTCTGAATATGGAAGTTTAGCCATTATGGCTTAAAGCCACTGATAGGCTTTGAAGCCTACTAAACTTGGTGGCATCACTGCATTCTCAGATACAGACACGGTGTATATATAATATAGGCAGAAAATTGCAGCAATGTTTCATTTTAAAAAAATCTTGTTGTTGGGTACTGCCTTTATGAACACATCAGATACCATTTCAGAGGAACTGACCAATTTGGACTCTCTGCACACTACTTATCCATGAAGTGTCTGGATCATTTCTGGGTGTTTGAATGCAAATATTCCCACTGAAAGCAGGCTGTATACATTTTTTGAAACCTAAGATAAATTGAGGCTTGTCCTAACTAAAGGCACCTTTGTTAATATGAAGTGAATATGAAAAGCTGTACCAGCTGACTTGTTCTTGTCATGCTTCTGTTACATTTCCAAGAGCAGGCTGGGCAATTTTTTTTAAAAGTACTTTGGCAACCAAATGCCTAATCTTCAAACCTTGTGTGATGGCCAAGTGCTTTCTCAGTTCCCCACCGTCCTTGTGACATCTTCTTGTAACAGTGATCAAATTGATTTTAGTTATGGCATGGATTGTGAGTGGTCAGTAAGGCAGTGTGAAAAATAACTGTGCTGGATTGTGTGCTGCTGTTACAGAGGAAGCCTGGGGAGGTAATTTCTTCTACCTCCCCCCTTCTCCTGGAGTGATTCACACGGACACCTTCTTTTCACAACACAAAATATAAGTTTATTGTCTCCTCTTTAGAAGGGCTTAGTAGTTTTGATGGATAAGACAAGGAATGTAATGAGTTATTAGTTATTTCAGCAAGGGAGAGCAGAACTCTGTTTTTAAACGGTAACAGTTTCACACACCTACAGCTTTAATGAACTGACAGGGTAGTTCTGTCAGGGAGAGAGAATGATCTCATTTGTAAAACCTCTTTAAACCCAAGAATCTCAGCCTATTGAAATAGGGTTAACGTCTCTTGGGATATTTTCCTCAATCCCTCACAAGTCCCTAACCTACTATTTCTCTAATAGAATAGATACCTGCTCTATTCCTGCCTCTTTTTCGACACCTGAGCCCTAGGTACCTATACTATAGATGTCTGAGTTCTTATCTTCACCAGGCGAAGCCTAACTGATCTCCTGGTAGTTTTTTCTTGTTCCTCTGTTGCTTCCCCAAGTCCTATCTGAGGTGATGACAGACTTCCCCTCCACTTAACTGCTTTCCCCACATCGTCTCATTGGCTGATGCGGCTTAGTATCTGCCTACCCCCCCCCCCGGGATTTGCTTGGATGCCTGGAGAGTAGGGGTGTGCATTCAGCTATAGCCGAACTGAATAGATACCCGAAAAATAACAATATAGCGGAACCTGAAAAAGCCAATATTATCCGGCTTTTTTTGGGGGGGGGGTGCTATACCAAAAAAAGGACCTGAGCTGCCATTCAGCTGTTGAGTTTAAATGCCTCAGTCCCCCTCCTGATTTTCTCCAGATATTATCCAGCTTTTTGGGGGGGTTCTTTTTGCTATAGCGAAAAAAAGGACTCAAACCTAACAGCCTGAGTAAGGTCAACTCTGGCAAGTACTTGGATGGGAGACCTCCCTGGAATACCAGCAGTCGAGAGGTGGGGGCTGGTGTTATTCAGCCACCTCTCTGAATATCCTTCAGGCCCCCAGTAGGGGTCAGTCACCAGAGGTCGCCATGACTTCCAGGTGCACACATACACACATGCACATATGAAAAATACAAAGAAAAAGGAATAGTAGGCTTGTCTGAGCTTTTAATAGGGCCTTGCTGACGTACAAGTTATGTAGTCTTCTGGATTCCTAGTGATTATAGATTCCATCCTCCCCCCTGCCTTTTTGTAAATCCTGCCATTTTCTCAGTCACTGTTAGAATAATCTAAGTGGGGACCCAAGAATAATACAAGTAGGGACCCACAAGAAACTTATGGGGCAGTTATCCCATTTCCCCCAACTTTACTTCCTTTCCTACTCTCTCACACTCTCCCTCCTACCACCTCTTTTCTTATTCTTTCTTTCCTCCATACCTGTCACTTCCTCTCTCTTTCTACCCCCCATCACTCTCTGTTTCTGCCCATATCGCTCTCCTGGCCTCCTGCCTGCTCCCTCCCCCCTGCACAGCAGCAGCAGTGGTAGCAGCAGCTCTTCAGATCCTAATCTGAAGCTCTAACTAGGGATGGGCATGAACTGAATTACGAACCTGAATTCATCATGAACCAGGCCTGGTTCATGGTTCACAGGCCTCAGTTTGTGCCCATCCCTATAGAAACCTCCCAGGACCGTCAGTGTGTTTTTGGATATTTGTGGGATTTGTGGTGGGAAGCGAGGGGCAGGAATGAGAGGGATTGCTGAAATGGCTTGCATCTACTTCAGCCATTTCAGCCATCCCTCTCATCCCCTTCCCCACTTCCAAGTGGTCCCTTTAAATCACTTTTGCAAGCTGATGCTGTGTGGTTGTGGAGGCTGCTTGCAAAACCCACTTAAAGGGAATGTTCCTTTTAAATGGGTTTTGGAAGATCTCCCCTCCCCCTCCATTCTGCTGGCCTTGGGAAGTCACTGGCAGCAGAAAGGAGGGAGGAAAGATCCACGAACCTCACAAACCCGAACCGGTTTGTGAAGCAGGGGAGGTTCATTGTGGTTCATGGGAACTCACAAAACATGAATCGGGATGAACCTCCATTTTCCCAGTTCATGCACATCCATAGCTCTAACCACTGCACCACATTGGCATTCATAGGGTGGCTGCTATTGAACAGTAGCAAGCAGCCAGGCCTCGTTGAGTCATGCAAGTCAGGTGGTATCAAGTCAACCAGAGGGTGCCACCAGGCCTGTGGTTGCCAACCTCCAGGTGGGACCTGGAAATCCCCCCCCCTCAAGTTACAATTAAACTCCAGGCAACAGAGATCTGTCCCCCTGGAGAAAATGGCTGTTTTAGAGGGTGGACTCTATGGCATTATACCTGGCTGAAGCCTCTCCCCTCTCCAAACCCAGCCCTCCTCAGCTTCCACCACAGAATCTCCAGAAATTTTCCAGCCTGGAGCTGGCAGGCCTGCCCCCAAGGATTCCTTCCTCAGAGGCCAGAAAATAGGCTTGGAAAAGGGCCCTGCTCTTTCCCCCTGCCTTTTACTGACAGAACCAAGCTTGGAATAGTATGGTTGCCTAGCAACAGCCACTGAGGGGATCTGTTTTTTTAAAGTTAAAGGCACTCCTTTTATCATTATTTTTTTTAAATTCCCCAATGTGTTGTTTTAGGGGTTTTTTAGATTTCACATTTTTCTGCAAACCTGGGTCCATTTTCACGTTTGTAGAAATATCTGTCTTCCCCATTCACAACTCCAGTCACCAGATTTAAGTATCCAAAGATTTGGCGACTTGGCTGTTAGAATATAAGATTGGATGCTGCACTGTACGGATGTCTTTTGATGTCTCTGTCAATGATTTAGGACTTTCCTTTTCATAGCCAGCTCTTCCCAAACCCATTGCTACTTGCAATACAGAAAAACTGCAGAATATTAATAGCTATTTGATTATTGGTTTTGCTTGTCTAAGACCATGCTTTTAAACGACATTAAAAAAAACATTTTTTAGAGTACCTTGTGACATTGCACCTTGAAGGAGTGAACAAATGAGCTTTTGCTAAAGTACTAGGTCAGTACTCAGATTTTTCCTTCTTTTTTAATAAAGACAGTTGCTATAGAAACCATTGGAAC